CTGTCAAGTTGACCAATAAAGCTATTTTCGATCAAAATACAATAAGAATAAGTTAAATTTGACAAATTTGCCCTTATATCTTTTCATCCAAAAAAGAAATAGAACTTATGATTTAATTAGTTAAAAATGTTAGGTATGAAAATGACAATATTTATTTTTAAATCAAATTAATATAAAAGATGAAATATATTATATGAAAAGTATGGAGAAGATGTAAAAATTATTCAAAAGGAAGAAAAAAGATATAGAAAATCATTAGATAGAGAATATTAGATTGTTTAATTAGATAAGAATTTTGAACATAATTAACAAACAAGGGTAGATTTGACAGATAAGATAAGGTAATTGAAGTAATTTTATTGATTTCTATCAGAATTAAGCATTCAGTCAGGATTCTTATGCTGAAAAAAATACACACAAGTTCAGACAAGTTCAGCAAATGGATTTTCATTTATCAAACACTCAAAACATCAGAATATCTGAAAAAATTCAGATTCAACACTTTTTTATGTTATCAAACAGACCTTAGTCATAATCATATAAAAAGAGAGGATAGCCCACAAGTTGGGTCCAATTACATACATGTGTTTATGTTATTATTATTATTAAGCAAAATCAAATAGACATATACATGTGTTTAAAAAAAAATATATTCACACACATAATTAGTGAGAAATGAAAAATTCATTTTTTGAAATGTGAGGGATGGAGAAATTCATTTTGTGAAATGTGAGGGATAAAAAAATCATTTTATAAAATGTGAGAGACGAAAAAATTTATTTTATAAAATGTGAGAGACGAAAAAATTTATTTTATAAAATGTGGAGGACTATAGGTCAGATTATGTGAAATATAATTTGATAAATTTACCCTTAAAAAATAATCACTTGCCTTGCACATAATGGATTCCCGCCAAAAAATGATCGAAAACCTAGTTAGGGATTAAATTTGACCGATGTGAATATGTAAGGGACATAAAATTACACTTTTAAAAGTGAGAGACGAAAAAAGTTATTTTACAAAATGTGAGAAACATTTTGAACGATTTTTCCTTTTTTATCTAAAGCAAAAATTGACTTTTTATTAATAAGCATATAAAGTCTGTCCATGGAATGTAAAGATTCGAATCACTTCAAACAGAAAACTCTACACAACAAGCTAGAATCAGCAAAAGCAAGTAAAAGGCAATCCAAGCCCTACTGGCGTAGGTCGATTGGTCACGGCTCTTCCTTAGGGTACGTTGTCTAGTTTCCCCCACAAGGGTTCGAGTCTCAGGTTAACGGGCTCGGAGAGATGGGATTTCTCTCCTCGAGTCTCAGGAGGATTAATCGGGTTGAAACCCGAATGTCCCATGTCGGGGAAAAAAAACAAGTAAAAGGCAATCCAAGCTCCCAATTTGATTTTGGTTAGTGAAAACTTTCTCTATCCAGCAACCATATCCCAATTTACGCTAGTCTTGATTCTGAGCCATCCAAGTCTTAAAACACCACCCCATCGAAAACAAGCCTCCTAACTTGGTCAGAGAATGAGCTTTAGAGTTTCCAAATTCCCACGACACAATTCACATAGATCATCAGTTTTCATCTTTACCCTTCCCCCAACTCTTTAATCTGTCCTACGTATTCAGCCTTCTTCGGCAGAGCACAATACAGTTACCAACGAATCGAATGCAATTTTAATAATTCATCAAATGTCATTTTCAAAATTTTCAAAAAACCATATTCCAATTTTTAGGTACTTGAAAGATTTATTAACTAAATATGCCCAAAACGAAAAGGAGGTCAAAGCCATTATCAGGTCCGATTGTTGCCTTGGCTAAAGAGGATGGGGAAAACTAATGATTCTGACTCCAAGTTTAGAATTTAAAACTAATTTTGGTCAATATATATTTACAAAAAATAAAAAAAATAAAAAAATGAGGGGGGATTATATGAAAAATTGAGATTTTTTTAATCAATTTTAAAAGCACTATTTGTGCTTTCTAATCTAAACACAAGCCCATGAAATGGTCTCTTATGAGAGTGGAAAACATATTACTTCGGTCCAGTCGACGTTGGCCCATAGAGTCTTCCTCAGAGAATCAAGAATTTGTTCTCGGGATAATTTAAGAAATCTCCCCTGGGGTTTGCAATATTTTCACTCAACTCCCTCAAAGTTTACATAATTAAAAGGATCTCTCTTTGTGTGATAAAAAAAAAAAAACAATACCCTCATTAATTGTCAAGTTATTGAAAAACTCTATGATTTTTTTTAATTTATTGTCAATCAATAATTCAAACTACAGTTTTTCCTGCTTAACTCTTGAACATCATCTTCCTCCTTCAACTATTTTTCTTTCAAACTTATTTATTTGTTCTTATCGATCAAATGTATACAGTCATAATTAAGAAAACCACTATATATATCAACCACCCATATTTACCTATTTTGGTGTGTATTTTCAATTCTCTCTTTTTCATTATTATTAAATAGTTTCTTTGTGCCCATTTTTGTTTCTATTTTTTGATAAGGCGTTAGCAAATTGAAATTGTTAATTGGCAAGTTGAGTGATGATTTCATTATTAAACTAGATAGAGATGAAGACATTGACGATGATAAAAAATAAAAAAAATTAAGGATAGGAAGTGGAATAAGAACTAAATAAATATTATACTATTGTGATTGTTATGAAAAAAAGTATTCCTAATATATTTATAACTGCAATTTGTTTCTATTTTTTATTTACAATTATTAGTGATGTTATTATTCATATAGAGAAAATTTGATTGATTTTAAGTTCTATGCGGATGGAGTATATTGGATGTTGATATTAATAGTAATGATTTAGACTATTTTGTATTTGAAAGGTGGTAGCCATAGATTGAAATTTAAAGATATTGATGAATATTATCAGCTATTAAGCAAACTTTAATATTGATATGAGATTGTAAGCAAACTTTTATGCATCTGATGTGGTGTTCGTAGTTGATATAATGGTCTGTATTGAAAAGTTTTAGATAAAAAAGGGACATTAAAACGAAGGGAAGTATTTATTTAATAGTGATTTGGATGTTGATGAGTAGACAATAGCAATATTAAATAAGAATGAATGAAATAAAGACATTGAACCATTCTTTTTCCTTTTCTAATTTTATTGTGGCATTTTTGAGAAAAGTCTAGCCTTTTGGGGCTAAAATGTTACTTAAACAAAAAAAATGGGGAAGAAGGTGTAATTTTTAAAACTTAATGGGGAGCTTTATGTAATTGTAAAAAACCTCAGGGGAGGTATGTGAAATTATCCCTTTCTTCTTTTCCCGGAAAAGGCGTCCAGGTGTACCGAATAAACGCGCTTTCACTGTCTGAAGATAGAAAAATGCGGAATTCTTCCATCGACAGTCGATACAGTACCCACCGCCCTCACAACAACTGATCCGGTCCTCCACTGCCCGCCCCATCAGAAAAAAAGGGAAAAAAATGTCCGACGCAGGAGTTCCGAAGCTGGCCACAACCATCCACGTCACGGCGTTAGACGGGATCGTTAACGTAAATTCCCTGTTCACACTAGCTGTGTTCATCGGACTCTCTTGGAACCCGAAGGACCCGGACAACAGACTCAACTCCGATCCGAACTGCCAAGCCGGTCCCAAAGTCGCCGAGAACCTCGTCGCCTTCCACGTCTACTCTTTCAGCTCTTTTCTCTTCTCCAGCCTGGTCGCACTGGGACTGAAGCAGGCCATCAGGCTGTCCCGCTCCGCCCATTATCGGACCATATTCACTTTGGACTTGGCCCACGTGAATAAAAGTGCTCTGCGGGTCGGGTACTTGGTTTCTGCTGCCGGGTCGGCTTCCGGGTGCTTATTCTTGATGCTGGCTTTGATTAATGTGGTGCAGATCAAGCTTGGGACATTGTCCTGTGGGAGTCCACATAGCTTGGGAGCTGTGGTCCCGCTTCTTATTTTTGTGCCAATTGCTCTTTTGATTTATGTGTCCATTGTCATCTATGCTTTTACCCAGTAGATCAAACTTTGAATGTTGTGTGACATTTGGTAATTTGATTTGTGGGATTTCTTATAGAGTTGTAGCAAATGATGAGGTTACTAGCACTCTGTGACTTGATTTCTTTAGTGGGATGGCAATATTTTTTGTTCCCTCCCAAAGTTGACATAGGCATAATGTTAGATATTGTGGAGTTTGCAGAATATAGATATTAGTATTAGATGGCTTTGTGATAGATAGTATTATATTGTGGTCGCATGAAATTGAGAGGGCAGACCTAAAAGCTTGGAAAATGTTGAGAACCGGAGCTAACCACATAATTATAGATTCCTTGGTAGAAGTTGCGTATTGTATTGTTGAAAATTTATCAGATTTATTTGTGATTTGAAAGAGTAATCCTGTGAAAATGAAGGGGCCCTGAAACTTGATAATTGCTGAAATGAGGTGCTCCTCATCAGACGCCGTGCCGTGGTTCCTCCTTGAAACCATCTGATGCATTTCGTATACAGAAGGATGATCTTGTTGTTGTGTAATCTTGTGAAAGGGCTTAGAACTCAAACCACAAGCTTCAAGCAATTTCATTTCGCTGAGTGAAGTTCCAATCTGCATTGCAGAATGGTTGGTAACCTTACACGTTTGTACTATCATCTGCCATGCGTGGAAAGCTTTGTGGAGTAGTGTTTGCTAGTGCGTTATATGATCGAACACTACCATGTTCGAGGTGGGAGTTGTCTTATTTTGGGTCTGTTTGTGGTTGATTATTTTAATAGATTATAGATTTTAATTTTGGATAATCAGTTTTTGTGATATTTTCATTTGCTTTTGTATTCTGTTTATAATTTTTTAAATGATAAAAATTTTTGGATGATAAGTTTTTTGCGATATTTTCAGTCGTTTTTGTATTCTATTTATAAATTTCGTTAACGATCCAAAAAATTTAAATTTATAATTACTCAAAGAGCAGCTTTTACTGATTCTAATTATTCTCTATAATCAATTTTCATAATCAAATTCTGTAAAATCTAAAGCCATCGAGAACAAGGCCTGTGTGAACTTTTATCTAGGATAGAAACAATGTTGCTATGCGGTTGGTAAGACAAGAAATGCGGAGATGTAATGTGGGTGTGGAACTTTGATTTGGATCAATCGTATGCTGACAGCCGCTTCACTGAAGCTCCTTTCGGCAATTTAGAAGATCAAAAATGGGGGTAATGATGACGAACGCCCTGAATAATTGCAGCGTGCTCGATGCTTAAATTTCGCAAGTTAGCCACATAACCTTCAAGTCTTCACTCTGATCTGAAAGTGCTGGAATAGAAAATGGAAGCTCCTTTAAGGTAGTGCTTACTCCACTGCTATTTGCTGGTGGAATTTACGTGTCAGCACTAAGGCAGCTACTCCCATCAGTATAAAGCGAGAAGAATTGTTGCGGGAGCTTGCACATCACAGAAGAAGAAAGATGAAGGCTGCAATGAAGTACGTTTTTGCTCTGGGATTCCTTGTGGTTCTGGGGATTTCCTGCTTGAATGGAGCAGATGGAGCTGGAGAATGTGGAAGATCTTCTCCAGACATGGAAGCTATGAAGCTGATTCCTTGTGCAGAAGCAGCACAAGATGCAAATGCTCCAGTTTCTAGCGGCTGCTGTGCTCAGGTGAAGAAGCTGGGCCAGAATCCAAAATGCCTCTGCGCTGTGATGCTCTCTGACACGGCTAAAAATTCTGGGGTCAAGCCAGAAATTGCCGTAACCATTCCCAAGCGCTGCAATCTGGCTGATCGTCCTGTGGGCTACAAGTGCGGGGGTACGCCACTCTCTTCTTATTCTCATTTGATTTACTACTATTGACCGATTTTGCAACATTTTCCCTTCATTTTTTGAAAAGGGATCAATAAATCTCATCTCCCGATCCTTCGTTTCGTTTAGCTTAATCTCAAACTAAACATCATGTTTCGTGCAGCTTACACATTGCCTTGAAGTCTTGAAGATGGAAGAATGAAGACTGCCAGCCATAACGTTCCGCGTATGAACTACATCTGCTTTGGGTAGCATGCATGTATAAAACACTTTCTGGCTAGTTTGTCTAGAAAATAGCCTATGTTATGTCTGAGGCATATGTATGATTAATGATAATCTATGTCATGTTTGGGCTTATGTTTAATAATAACCGGTCCAAACACCTCCTCTGGTGTTTGTAGCAAAGCTCATGCTCACGCGCTGCCTTGCCTATGATCCTCTCTTATTCTTGTGTGAATCCAACAAATGTGGAATGACGAGACTCCCATGTCCTAATCAATCTCTTCTCTGACGCGATGATGTTCTTCTCGTGCATAACGAAGAATCAAGTTCTCAATTGTGAATTTTTTGGATGCAAGAGTGATAGCTCAACGAGTACAAAAGAACATAGGCACTAGTTTCTACGGTCCAGATTCATGCGCCCCCTCGGCCGCAAAAGCAAAAATCCTTCTTCTTTTTTTTTTTTTTTTTTTTTTTTTTTATAAATAAAAGAAAAAGACAAAGAGGACCCCATAACGGCATTTTTGAGATGTCTCCTCCGGAAGACACATCTGAAATGCAACGTCTCAGAGTATCTTCTTGAGCTTCAGTTGTGAACTGACCACAACACATGAATTTTACTATTCTGAGCCGCAATTTTAACTGTACCAACCACATGACAGATTGGACAAAATCTAACATGGATTGACTTGAGTTAGCATTTAGGTGAAGGTCCCCTGGCTGCTGCTTGTTGCGGGACCATCTAAGACACTACTGAACCTTGGAAAATTAACTGTACAACTGTAAAACATTTTGTTGCAGATTCTTTCTTTTTCCAAACTGTCTGGACCGAGCAAGCAGCACCTGCTCTTGGTTCTTCCTACGTCCTAGTTCTACATCTTAACTAGCTCTTCTTTTGTGCTAAGCTCAACCAATTGCTTTGGTCACAAAAGCGGTTGCTTTCATCAGAAAACCATCTGAAACGAGGATAACTCAACTGCTTTTGTCACAATAGCGATATGGATGAAGTGTTTGCTTATGTGATTTGCCGTTGTCCAGGAAAACATGATGTACTTCAACAAGAGAGAGAGGGAGAGAGATAGAGAGAGATGGTCAGGTTGTCGATCAAACAAGATACTTATCATATACAGGACGGAAGGCTACATTTAATTAGCTGACACCACAACATAGGACAGTTACATTGATTAGCAGAGACCAGAAATGCTAGAAGAACGGAATGACTACAAAAAAGTAAACATCAACTGAAATACAACTAGCCTACAAAGTCGACAACCATAGCTGATACCCTACCATCTTCTCACGATTCATGATGCAAAAGAAATCGCGTCTCTGGACCCCCTACAAAGATTTAAACGGCGGAAAATCACACCACTGAACTGTGACAAAAGAACAAATGCATTTTCTGTTATCATAAAAATTTTAACTCCAGACAGAATTAAGTGATATAAATCACAGCACAGCTCTATATAGTTTCGGGTTATGCTAGTATTACATTAGCAAGTCAGTTTGCAATATGCTGTGATGGATTTCCTTCGAAAATACATCGAGGAGGAAACAAGAAGGAAATAACCCACCCAAGACTTGGAAGGAAAATTTATTAGGAAAATACCTGCTTGTCAATGGGTTATTGGCTGTGCACAAAGCATTAGCCCTAGTAGTAAAGCGACCCTGTACAAATCATCCGAAATGATCATTTCCACCAATTTCTTGTTAAATAATGGAAAGAATGAACTTTGAATTCTTAACAATCTTACCCTGCCACCAATTTCCTCTGGATGCACAACTCGGATTGTTATCATTTGAATCATCATCTTCCCCATCTCTCCTGAACTGGTTTTCAGTCGAAACAGAGAGAGAACGAACATAAGGCGCCCAGTCTTCAATACTTAAACTACTGCCTCTGAATTTAGTTTTCACGAAAGGAAGGGGAATACACTTACGATATGCTGAGAATTAGTGTCCTGGCCAGTTGGAGAATAAACTTCTTGCCCACCATAGTAGATTGATGAGCTGAAGTAGCACGGTTCTGAAGTTTCACTTTGATAAATGGAACTCTTTTCCTTAGTGTCTGCCCTGCTCTTCTGATTTATGTAATCTAAGATCAAGATCGCAATAACGTTAGAATTTTTATTTGATATAGCATTTATGTCTCAGAAATGCATACTTAAAATCCAAACATTGACCAAAATATAAGTTCAGTTTCTAAGCTTTCCTTTCACTACCAACTACCGAGTGCGGATCTTGAAGATTACCTGCGGAAACCAGAAAAGCTAAATGCTCATTGGCAGATAAAAGCACAAGAAAACGTAAGCACAAGAAAACGTGCACACAAACCTGAAGTTCCATTCCTGGCAGTGCCATATTGACTCCCAAAATCCTGCTTTCTTCCAGAATGAGCGGAGTCCTTCCCAAGCCCCTTAAATAAAAAATGTGAATGCTTTAGATTTGGAGGTTGCCAAATAGTATCGTGAAGAATTGCAATTCTTGTAGTAAAATTACATTGTGAAAATGGTGAAAAAAAAAAAGCATGATCTTGTTGATGCCTTCGCCCAATGCTATAGTGACAGAGATATCCAAATCACTACGTAAAAGCATGTGTGGGGGAGATATGATTTCAAGTCAGCAAATTGCAATCTATGATGGATATCAAGCAACATGCACAATCTTCACGTAAAGTCAAACTATTGCTTTCTTTGCTCGATTACAGGCCTATTAGTTATCAAAAAATCCAAACAAGAAAATTAACATCCTCCTGCAAATTCTCAGGCCAACTAGTCAATAATAACATGTAGTAGTAAATGATGCGCAGGAAAAAGAAAATCAAGAAATTCCGACCAACAAACGGAGACAGAGGGTGCAGAGTAGGCAATAAAAGGGTGGGGCTGTAAGTATGTACCGTGGAGGACGGCCCAAATACAGATCCAAAGAGCCCAGTGGATGAAGAGGAAGATTTGGATGGCTCCTTGGGACCAAATAGATCCATAGTAAAGGATGAAGATGAACTACCCACTTGCTTTCCCTTCTCCATATGATTTACTAAGTTACTTGCGGCTTAGAACTCAGAATTCACTTGCGGCTGTTTTTCTCTGTCAACCGAGCGACCAACGAATAAAACTATCGCCGGTTACTAAGTAGTATACGGGCAACAACAAGGAAACAGATAACCTCGAACCCGCAACACCCTAACAAACCAACACAGAAACCCAAGAAGAACCTCGTAAGTGGATAAGATCGATCTCTCTTAGCTCAGACTCAGGGAAAGAAATAAATACAACTAAGTAACTACAACGACAACAGAATCAGTGTACTCGGGACGACTCCTGCTTAACTACTATACGACTCTTTCACTACTAGTAGTAGTTATTATACATGGACAGAAAAAGCTGAGCTCTGAAGAACAGAGATAGATATGGATAGATAGCTGCAGGGCACGTGAAGTTGCCAGTCTTATGTGCAGAAAATGGAACGGTGGTGAGTGGTATTTATAGGCCCCAGAATGTTAACAGCAACCAATCCAAATATTAAGTCACCCCAAAAAAAGCCCATCTTCATTCATTCACGGTGACAGTTATTCATGTCTCCCCCACATCCGTGACTGTCCCTCCATCCATTCCATTCTATCTTTTACCGCTCTCCACTGTTTTTCTTTCTTCTCTCTGCTCCGTCCGCAGACTACTTCGAATTAACAGATGGGATCTTGACATTTAGCCAAGTGGACATGTTGCCATCTCTATAAGCCACGTGTCCCCACAATTGGGATGTTAATAGTACCTCAGCATCGGAAGGACTCCCACCACTGTTAATACCAACCATGCATCTTCTTCCTCTTCTCTCATATCATCATCAAACATGTCATCATCATCAAAGTCCTCTTTCTTTGACCGCTGTCGTCGTTGAGAAAGAGAGATGGATGATGGAATGGATGGAGGGACCCATATGGAGTAAGGTCCCACGAGAAATAAAGGAGGGAGTACTCCAGTGATAGACTAAACGGTAGTTTTATATGGATGGATAACTGGATAAGGTTGTTTCAGTCATACAACTTGCGTTTTGCATCTGTGTACAGTATATACTATATGGATGGATGGCAGCCTCGGCCCTCCCTCGGGGCCTCACCTCATCTCATTGCCAAACGGTTGACCGTAAAAGGGTTCGGTTCTCTTCTATGCTTCTTACTTGCAAAATGAGCAGTCCTATTTGGTGAAGAATAAAGATGGGTGGATAAATGGATAGATAGATACCGATGCATTGAAGAAGATATTAGATCTTATTCCTCCGCGTATCTGCTTTCGGGGAATCTCTCGCTAACTCGGAGTCCTTTAGAAGGAATATTAAGAGGGGGCAGGACTCATGTGATTTTAATGTGAAATATCCCAAGGCTGTTCCCTTATTTTATGTGGAGAATCTTCCCACCAAATTCTTTGTTTTAATTAGCTATAGATTTCTTTAGAAGCCATGGTCCTCGTTGTATGGTCAGTCAGGCCTTCTTTGTTCCTCTTTGGCTTCTTTTCTTTTTTATATTACAAAACTTTAGCAAGGGGTTCGGATTTCTTGTTTGTATGGGACGAATGAACTATATATTTTAAGGCAAATTGATATTCTCCAACGGAAGAGGAGCACTCGAAAGCTAAATTATTAAAGATTCTGCATCAACTTAAACGTACCCTCTTATGGTAAAGAAAAATTCCAGAAGTAATCTGAATGCAACTAATTCAAGGATGAAGGCAACTGTGACACGGCCAAGTGTCCATGGCAGAATACAGCATGATGGGCTCATCGGCGTGCTTTGAGACGTCCTAATCAGTAATCACCCATCCCATTAGTTAGTCAATCGATCACTAGCTCCTCGTGCCCTCTCTGTCGCTTCACCTCCGCCTAATTTTCATCTTTTTAACTGTTCCTTGAAACATCGGATTTTTGGTACATATGGGCGTTTTCCACATCAATAGTCGGAAGGCTAGTTTGCATGAAGTACCGGTGAGAACCATTTCATTGCCATTCTTACAGAATCATGTAATCATCAGGTTATTCAAAAAAAAAAAAAAAAAAAAAAGAAGAAAACTTTAGCATCACTGTTTTTTTCTCTTGACAAAAACACAAGTTTTTTTTTTTCTCTTGACAAAATCTTGATTTAGCATCACTGTTTGAGTGACAGAAAACTTTTGTAGCTACTCGGAAAGTTTTGGTTCTATGATTTCCCGTGAGCAGATAACAAATCGTTTAAAGCACGGATGTCGGCATCAATTCTTGGATCCTTTTACCGATTGAGCTTAGCCAATCTCTACTGACTGAATCTTTGTCTATAGAGTTTTAGACTTTCTGCCATTTCTCCGGTGTTTCATTACTCAGATAGGAACTAAAGTATGCGGTCTAGTAAGTACTAGTATTATTTGTGATGATGAGCAGTGGAAGGATAATTCTAGCAGAGAATCGAGCAGCAATTGTATCTTTAGCTTGAAAACAGGCAGACACGTATATGGTTTAGTCTTGGTGGAACGACAAATCATTTGGGCTTTGGAAATAAATTCAATATGATGGAGATAATGATGGTCTTTTTAATCGGGTTTTTTAGGCACTATGTTCTTAAGATGTCATGATGATTTTAATCTGAATTGGTCTTTTCACCACTAGGGTACCATCATTGTGTAATACCAGCAATGATCAGCTTTATAGAGTTATTTTATGCGCAAACAAATATTAAGGGAAACCAAAATTATTGAAAGCCAAGAACAACAACATGAGGTCCACTTAGCAAGTACCAGGCTAGATATACTGAAACTTGATAGCTATATAACGAGAACAATATCATTGTCCTCTCATTGATCGTGACTCAACCTTAAGCATATTTCAAGGGCTCAAAGGCAATAACATTTTTTTTTTAAAAAAATTTTTTTTTTTTGTGTGGCTGTAGATGCATATATCATTGATTCCTTCGTCTAATGCCTAATCATTGATTCCTTCGTCAGGTGTTAGGACTTAGGAGTCCTTTGATTAAATTGGCATTATCAATGTTAACAAAGAAAAAAGTGATGCAGAGAACCAGATAAACATCCTACTCAGACATGGTCGTTTTAGCGCTAGAAAACATGAGACGAAAAGCAGGCTGGATATTTATGTTCTGTTTATTTTGATAACATTGTCAACCTTATCTTTGACACCACAGTACTGGAAGACATGGAGTGCAATTTTCAAAAAATTTTAGCTCTTTATTCTTTATTTATTTTTCAATACATATCCAACAAACGAACTAATAGGTCAAGTGCCGTGATGGAATTTGGAATAAGATCAAAGTGGGGAAATAATGATACTCCAGAGGACGTTGAATGGATTTGTTAATAGCCTTCAAATGAAACCTCGTTAACAAGCAAGTCATGGGCGTCTCACCCTAATTAAAAGCAGAAGCAAAAGAAGATAGAAGAGATATTCTAGTATTATCTTAGGCATGACCTCTTAGTACTGTAGATATGGTGTTAAGATAACGATAACGATTCATTTAGATCTTAGATAGCTAGATTGCTCTTTAGTGTTGAGATTTGACATGAATATCCTCGCATGCTTTCTAGTTCTTTAAGTTCTGCTAACAATGGTCGATGTTATAACTAGAATCACTAATAGGGAAATGGTATGTTTAAGAATTGGATTAACTCTTCATGCACTGATAGTGTAATGATTCTTTTACACTAGCAACTATGAATGTCTGTTACATATGTATGATTTGAATTTCAATTTTGAATTCATATTGTGCCGCGTACTTTAAACTCGCTAATGTGAAAAAAAATTGTACATTGACAGTGTATAAAAGTCTTACTCTTAAGAATTTTGGGATAAATATTTGTAATTATAATAGACGATGTGATTTAACCATTACAAAATATTAGGAAAATTGCAAATTTTTTTTTTTTTTTGCAACAACGAAAATATTCCTATAGTCTAATTTATTCTATAGAGCCTAAAGAGACGTCTATTAGGTATACAGATTCGATTAGATCAAAATAGTGTTCTAGCACCATTACAGGAAAATTGCAATATTTTTTTACCGCAATGATAACATTCCTATAACCTAATTTATCCGGTAAAGCCTAAAGAGACTGCTAGCAGGTATACATAATCAAAAGAGTGTTCCAGCACCATTACAAATTATTAGGAAAATTGCAATATTTTTTTTTGCCTCAACGATAATATTTCTGTAACCTAATTTATCCTATAAAGCCTAAAAAGACTACTAGTAGGTATACATAACATTCTTATAACCTAATTTATCCTGTAGAGCCCAAAAGAGACTGCTAGTACGTATACAGATCCGACTAGATCAAAAGGATATTTTGACACTTTTTTAAAATATTTTTTCACTGCACGTAAAATTTGAACCCCCTGTCTAAAGAGAGACTTAATTCTTTTTTGGCACCCACTGTGCTAAAGCTCGGGGGTTAGGAAAACTGCAATATGCTTTACTTTAAATGCCGTCCATGAAAACTGGAATGGCACGCGAAAGCCTAGTCGATTGGAATAAGATGGCTAAATTTCTTGTTCAAGCTTCATTACCTACTATTGGACAGCTTCAATGTGCCCAACACAAATAAGAGGATATAGTCTACTTTCTGCTTGTCTTAGGTACATAATAGGAGAAAGGGATAGAGAAGAATCAAAAGCTTTCTCAGTTATCACTTTGTGACTTGTTATTGGGGAGCCACCTCATGGTCATGGGCAATTTTAACTGGAAAAAGGTAGCACTTTTGAATCAGGAAGAACGGGGAAAAGTAGATTTTCACACAAGTATCCAAACAGCTACCTCTATGGCTTCGATCCTTGCAATCGTGTATCGCTTGTTCGGTTAATTTGCTGAAGTGTGATCCAACGCATTTGGGCATCTCCTACTTTTCCCTTGGCTTTTTCGGATTGCGGCAAGTTAGAGAATTTATTCAAATTGTGAAAAGAAAATTTTAAAGGATTAAATTGATTCAACAAGAAAAAACATCAAATCAAGGAGAGAATGAGCATATCCATTATTATCTATTTTCCACTATCTGTTTTAGTTATACACGTTTGAAGTAGCCCTATCCTCCCTTCAAATCAATAATTAGTCTAACAAAAGGTTAAAAGTTGATCGGCTCGAGCCAATACAAGGCGTGGAGAGAAAGGCTTTGCATGTGACATTCTTTACTCGAATATATGGTCCATCAACCAATCAACGAAAAAAAAAAAAAAAAAAGAAAGAAAAGAAACAAAGAGAGAAAAAAGGGAACAAGATCTTGGCATATATGGTGCTTCCTTCGAAAGTTTAGCGTCAAATAATGGAACATTAGCGTGTTTGGACAAAGCATTATTTGAAATATAATTTGAAATAATTACTTCAGTATTTTTTTGTAATGTGATGCATGTAAGATAAAAAAGTGGGTTGAAAAATATGTTCATGATGTAAGTAAAATATTATTTTGAAAATATTGTTTGGAGATTGTATGGTGGACACAGAGTCGGGAAAAATGAGTAAATTACATATATCTCCTCTGTGGTTTCATTTATTGCCACATGACCCCCTAATGTTTCAAAATATCCACTTCACCTGCAATAGTTTTATGTAAAGTGGAAACTGGATTAGGCTATGTAGCATTATTAATTGAAATACCAATACTGCTTTTTTTTTTTTACATGCTAAATCAATCAATAGTTTAATTACCTTATATAAAAGTGCAGGAAGATTACGTGGATAAATGCAAAAGTTACAGGAAAGGTAAAGTGGATATTTATACAAACCATGAAAAAGTTACATGAAAATTAAGATTTTATTACACGTGCTTTTAGAGCGTGTCTGATATAAACGTCATATTTAATTGTGCATTCCATTTATTTTTCATTTTACATAAAGTTGTAGGGGTTATGCGATTATTTTGAAACTTTAGAGGGTTATTTGATATTATGTAAAATTACAGGGAGGTTATAAGTAATTTATTCAAAAAAATCAAAGATACATATAGGAATATATAAAACCGATAGAGATATTAAAGAAACCCAAAGAGATATTAAGAGAGTGTAATACAAGTCTTTTGTATATCATGACAGTTCTATCTAAGGAAGGCAAATTGATCTCAGACTGTTAGATTCACGTTAGCAGCAGACAATGAAAATTTCGATCAAACAAAATGGCCCGTATATACGTCAAAAAAAAAAAAAAAACAAAGAAAGAAGTTTTTGTTGCATCAAACTCGTCTTTCTATGTTTTGAGATGTAATAAAAGAACTTGAGGACTGGATATATACAACATTTTCCGCACAAGTAACGTCAAACACAAACTGTTTTATGTCTTGTTGCTATTCTTCCTCCTGTATCTCATGCCTTTGTATATGTTGTGAACATCACTTGAGTGCCCATGCTATTGCTAATTGAAGATCAGTAAAATTACGAGAACTTACAAAAAAAAAGAAGAAGAAATATTAGGAAATGTTTAATTAATTAACTAGTGTTCTTAATATCGTTCCTCGATCCACTAATACTTTAGTTGGTGATCAGGCATATCTATACATGACCAGATAAAGGGATTCTCACTGTAAAATTAAGCAGAAAATTCCTGAGAAAGTTAATTATAATACACCAGGAGGCTAACATATTTAGTGCGTGAAGAACATATGTAGAAATATCATAACAGCTCCATATATATATATATAGGATACCATTCAGGACTAGTGTCCAAAGACAAGGATTTTTCCTAGTACCATGCTATAATTTATTTAAGCTGAAGCTGCTAAATACAGGGAATAATTCAGATTATGTTTGAAGTATACATCAAGAATCAAGTATGCTTCCACGGAGCGCAATGAAGTTTCCCTGAGCAAGACCCCTCCCATGAACTTCTGCATCCTTCTCCTGCGCCATCACAACATTTGCAAACCAATCCCAGTGTGGAGAACATCCCCGAATAACCTACACATATCCCAGAAAGAAAAAGGCAAAAATATATAGAAAACATCAGAAAACATTTCCCCACTACGGGCTTATGCTTATTTTCTTTATTATTATTATTATTATTTTTTAATTTTAGGGTTGGGAGGTGCTGGATGTTTAAATAGGTACTTACGTCGTGGAAATTTGGGTATCGGAGGATTGGCTTCAACTTGAAGGCGTCTGGCTCCGATGGGAGATGTTACAATAATGATAATGAACGACAAAGCCAAGAGCTCAAAACGTTTAGACATGGATTGAAATTCGCAGGTGTGGTCTAGCTAGGACGTGGAGAAGCCAAACTAGATCAGGGCAAACTTCGATCAGCAGCTAGAAACTGCTAAAGAGATTTGGTAAAATTAGTTTCAGATAAATATCAAACGGGGAAAAGTTACAAAGAGAATTGTTCTCTCTACCCCTAGAACCTTAGAGCTTAGAGTTACATATATGGATACGCGGTCTCTAGTGCGCATTCTCCAAATAATCCCCTGAACCCTATATATAGGCCAAGATGTTCTTCAATATTTGAACCTTAAAAGAGTAAGTTTATGAATTTGTATTTTCAGAGATGTTAATTCTGACTTTTGGAAATGTATGTACAATTAAATCTGGTTGACAAAATAACTTCAATGTGAAAGAAAAAGTATTTGTTTATCCCTAAATGAATTACTAAATATGTTGAAAAATTCTATCTGAGAGGTCAAATCTATTGGTTTTCTAGAACATGAAATACTTCCAAATCGGAATAGAGAACGCATTCTACCCCCCCCCCCCCCCAAAAAAAAAAAAGGGAAATAAATTAATGCAATATGCCACCATGATCCACTAACGTCTTTATCGTGTCTAGAAAGCATCAATGTAGCATAGCTTATCCTTTGCCCCTTTAAGCACGTACAACTTCTATTTTATCTTAGCTCAAAATTTTCATAAAATTTTCACTTCGCATTCTTCTCATTATCAGGGCTGGCGTTGCATAAATTTTGCACTACATAAAAGCTTTTTTTTTTTTTATCTCTTGGGGGGCTGGAAGAATATAAGGCATACAAAATCTAATTTAGGGATTCCGCATTGGTTGAAATTTGACCGATTTTTTTAGGATTCAGCGGTTATGGTCATGTATAGATTTTTGTAATATATGCTTTTCCTAACATATGTTTAATTAGTTGTGCTGACTCCAGGTTTGTCGGTGAAGGTTTGTATTATTCTGCAGATTCGCTGCTTCAGTAGATATTTTTTTTTCATATCAATATAAGTGCTAGATATACTGAGTTTGACAAGAGAAAGAAAGACCAATTGAAACTTCCTTGCCCACATGCTATTTGTTTTTCTTTCATATAACGTGAAAGAAGGATCATAGCTTTGATGCTGAAATGGGAACGGTCTTCATGGACTTTAGGCTATATATTATCAACAAAAAAAAATTTCTTTGTTATAGTCCACAGTTTCATTTTCAAATGAGACTGTGTTTCTTATACATCTAATTAAAAGTCAAAAGTCTGATGAATTTATGTTTTACATTGCTTTAAGGTTGTCGTCGTTTGGTTCCAATCTCCACATCATATCTGCGATGATCTCTTACTTTCTCCATGCATGCATCGATGCATGAAAGCTCCTTTTTTCCGCGCAAGAAGAAAAGTTGACTACTTCGTAGTCAGCCGACCACAAATCCACCACTGTGTTTAATCAGGGGAAAAAATACGGGTGATCACAAATCACAAGTCAAGTGGACTGCAGAATTCAAGTTTCTAGAGGGACATAATATATAGTATAGTACATACAGTCTGATTGTGCCACTGAATAAGATATTAGGAGAGCTTATCTAGTTAGCAATTGAGCGTGCATTAATGTTCTTTGTTTTTGTCTTCTTGTGTTGGTTGCTGGGTGGGGCGGGGGCGGGGGCGGGGGCGGGGGGGGGGGGCGATCCTTATCTCCTCTCAGATAATTAGCATGTTCATTGTATATATTCCAAGTTCAAACATCTTGTTAGTTGCGCCCTTGACGGGCAAGCATCCGTCATATTCTGGAAGACCATAACAGCGTCGAATCATCAAAGGTACAGTTAAGGCCATATATGAAAAGGAATTTCTAGAAAATAATTGAACAAATAGTAAGCCCATTTGGCTAACATAATTAGGTCGTGAGAAAAGCTGTGATCGAGGCAAACTTTTAAGGCAAAAGTTTGGGTAGACGCAGTCTTGTAAATCTAGTTATTCAAATTTTGTCACATTTTCAATACTTGAATTGGTGAGATGGTATGATAAATTTTGAACCGCTCGTTCTACATAGACCAGATCTACCTAAGTGTTTGCTAACTTTCAATGATTAACGTGCTAGGGAGAAAGTCAAATAAAATGTTGGGTGATGAATTGCATTGAAGCGTTATATATTGCCTAATGTTATCATGGTGCTTTTCATAAAACTAAAATCTGAAATCTGAATTCGTTAATTAAGTTACTGAATTGTTAAATACTAAATCTGATACATTTAAGTACATATCATATTAAATGATAAGTGAATAGTTTATTATTTAGTTTTTGGAGCAAGTTTTATTAATGAAATTCAGTGTCACACTTACCTAATTAATTTAGATATTTTTATTTTTTGTTATCAAACGCGTCTGAATATGTTAACATATAAACATATTAAATTTAAGTGCTTAAATGTTGAACTAGGTTATCAAACAAGGTGTTTGTTTGGCTTGAAGCCACCATTTGATTTGAAAGCAAAAATTAATCGCGTGTTACTTCTTCCTACAGTGATGAACCAATATACCAAAATCAAAATGATGGCCATCCAAACATAGCCCACATACTTGATAAATTTGTCCAATTAGTGATGTGGTTCCATGACCAACACCCTAGCTATTAATTATTACTAAGAAAAGGGTAAAAAAAGGGGGAAGGCCGAGAAGATCAGAGCTAGCTATTGAGGAAACGCCAGCTCAATCAATCTTTTTCTGTGTCGCGGGAGGAATTGTCCACCATTTGAACGTTCATATCCCTATTGCCGAATGAACGAAGTCGTTTATTCTTCGAGTCATAGCATTGCGAACTTTATTAGAAGTTTGTGGTTTGAACTTCGCTTCGTTTTTGGGCTGGATTAATTCTTGGGCGCTATTCTAACGCCAGTTATACGGTTAATGACATTAGTAAAGTATCGAGTTTGACTTTCGAAAAGAGCATTGCAAAAGTTGCAAAACATTATTAGAGTCTTTTTTTTTTATTTTTTTGGGAAGCAACATCCTTAGAGCCTTAGTGGTAGTTTCACTACATACAATCACTAATACGTGTTTCCATTAAAATTACACATCTCAAATCATATTCTCAGGCATTTTCACAAATAATTGGTAGGAAAGCTTACCAGAAAGATATGACCCTTAGAGAGCAAACATCTCCTGTTGATTAATGAAATCAGAGCAAGTATTTCTATGCAAAACAGCAAAAAATATACTAGTAATTAAAAATTAGGAGGTCCCATCCCGGTGTCCTCACCTATATATGCTTTCGTAAGACTGATTTACAATGCCAAATGACCGAAAGTGAATATGTACATTCTGCTTCTTTATTTCGAAACAGCATCATATTTGTCAATCTAAGATCAAGATCCACTTATTTGAACTAATGCTTAAGCATAAGAATGTGCAACAACAGGGCTTCTGACTTGATGCACCCCATCATCCCATACCAAAGAGCCCGAGATTATAGTTCGTGGAATTTCTGCTGTAACAGTAACACTAAAAGACAACTTCTGCCCCAATGATTTGAAGGAAAGAGTAATGGGGTTCACTTGAATGCTGAGTTGAGGTGGAGCAGTTACAGTTGCTTTGTAAGTCGATACTGGATTACCAACATTTGTTACAGTTCTGTGGAAAACCCGAGTGACTTGTCCAGATTTTGCAGAAACTGCAAATGAAGGATAATTAAGATCCCAAACTGTTGCATTATTGGCTTTGGTGCAAGAAGAACTGTTATTGCCAGTGATGCGTCGCAAAGTTGTGGTGTTGTATCCTTGACCGCACAAGAAGCTCACAAAATCAGCCTCAGTTATGTCATATACAAGACCGGGAGCTGCAGCTTTTATGGGATTTATTTGACCGGATCCATAAGCAAATTCAGCATCAATATTGGTTTTTGTACTCATGGGTGTAGCTGCATAGCAGTGAAAACCAAAAATGTTAAATTTTGATTAAGCATCATGCATTGTTATTTACATGATGTTGGGTATATACTATTAATGTTCGTGTAAAAATTTTACTATTTATCCATTTACTTTTTTTGGGAGGGGGTGGGGGGGGGGGGATTTGGGCGGTTGGGGAGAGTTTCAATTATGTTTCTGATATGTATTCATGTTTATTTTTGAGCCAGAGAAAATGGTCAAAGGTAGCAGCCCACTACAAGTGCAAGCAATTCTAGACCTTTAGAGTTTATATTGTAACTTCTGGGCAATTAATATATACGGGCCTTTTGCCTTTAGTCCGTTTCTTTTCAAGCTAGTAAAAGGATAAGTACATTCTTCAAAGCAAACATATAGCTATCGCCTTTGGCTAGCAAAGAACATAATGTCGCAACATGCAAACAATTTAGTCCTATTCTTTCTTGGTTTCCACTTTCCAACATGATATTCATCAGAAAAATGATCACGTTCTTTAGCTTCAAATGCTTTTTAACACTGTGGCTCATATGCTCAGTCTAAAGATTTTAGGAAGTAGTAAAATTTTGGAAATATGCATAAGTCCGTTTTCATTTTAATTTTTTTTGAAAAATTAAATCTGAATCATATTTAATTATTACCAGTTGTCATAAGTGCAGATTTGATAGCAGCAGGGGACCAGGTAGGATTGAAAGATTTAACATAAGCAGCTGCACCAGTGGCGTGAGGACAAGACATTGATGTCCCAGAGATTATGTTGTATGGAACTACTCTGGTGTCTCCTTCGTCCCCTGTAACCGTGGTAGCTTCTGACCATGCTGCTACAATGTCTATCCCGGGTGCACTTATGTCAGGCTGCAAAAAGATACTTAGAAGGTGTACTTGTATAATTTCAACATCACAATAAATTACTACTAAGTGAATCACCTTGAGAATGTCTGCAGTAATAGGATTTGGTCCCCTTGATGAAAATGAGGCCACATATGGAGCCGCTTTGTCTACAATTGTTGTACTCTTTCGAATAACTGCAGTGGGCTCACTGCAAAATCAAAAAACCATTTTTGTGCTACTTTTTATCAGAAAATTGTCAAGTGTATAACTGTTCTAAGGTTTGTACGTACCTCGTGGAGTTAATGTAGTTTAAAATTGTAGTTCCGTCTCGTGTACTTAGATAAGATACAGGCAAGGGGAAAGAGAAGGCAAAATCTTTGTTGCCTCCATCTTGCATTACAGTGCCAGTAGCACCTGCATCAAGTGTTGTTGTCCCATCATTCAGCTTGTCACAGACCACAATTGTTCCATTCACTTTGGTTACGTCCAGGGAGTTGTATATGCAGTACCTGCACTTCATGTGTCACATATTTTTTTGTTTTTTTTTGTTTTTGGTAATGCGTCACGTTTATTAAATGTC